ATTCTTTCTCAATTCTAAAATAAACCTCATTAACCGACTGTCAAACTTTTTAGAATTATAAAAACTAAACCTACCAATAAATGAACAACACTTTTTTATCAGTTTGACTTCTGAGGTCAGTGACATTAAAATTCCTGTTTTCAATTTTATTGTCAGTTGCGGACAGTATGTTAAAGAGCGACAGTCACATTTCAATTGTGTATGAAAACAAACAATGCATTTTATACATAAGCCTTCCGTTCTACAATGACCTACATTAAACGTACGTGATGCAATGATCGCCTTTCTTCAAAAAAAAAAATATGGGACAACTATTTGTTATATTAGAGTCCGAAATATCATTGAAAATGATCCTATAATGCAATGCACCGTAAATTCATTGATTAGTTGGACATGACGTCAACATCTGCAGAGAGTATTTTATTTGCTTGGTTTCTGTAAAGCCAGCCAATCATAAATGACATTCATATAATAAGATAAACCGGTCACCGTAACTACCGTAGGCAGTTAATGTAGAGGCCTGAGGCCTCATAGATTCTAGGCATAGCTGGAACATTAACACGTTGACAACCATAGCACTATATACAGCCCATAATGTATGCAGTGAAATTTATGTAACGTAACGTAAAAGTGAAAATAAAAAAAAATGTACGCTCCTAAAAATCTCTTGTGTTGCCACGAAGCAAATTTCGCGAAAATCAAAACTCCCAGTTTATAGGCATTATATGCATATACACATATAAGCTTCCTGCCCCATCGCGCTGCACACGACTTCAACCATGCAGTGACAGGCAGATGAGAATAAGGACAAATACAATTTTAGACCAGAGTGAATATTCAATATGCTCTCCAGTACACAGTATGTTGTTATCAATAACAATAGCACATTCTTCATCTACATATACTTGACAAACAGTGGGTAAACTTAAAGAATCAGTTCAGATTAAAAGACACACAATACAACACAAAATAAACAATATACAGTACTGAATAAAGATATCTAAAAACTTGTGGCTTGGGACATTGTCAAACAAAATAACATAACAAGAAGCTTGCAGTAAGCTTACAGCATAATACAAAAAGGTCATTCGGGGTAAATCAAGCATGGCAAACTTTGATCCAATCACGAGAAACCTAGCTACTGAATCACTTATGGTGGCAGTATCAACTCAGCACATCAGATGAGTAATAATTGTGACCAATAGAGGGCGCACACAAAATAACAAAAGTATTTGACAATGATATATTCCACCACTAGAGGGCAGACTCTCATACTTGCACATGCCAAGACAAGAAAATATTACACTACCTTGTTCTTCTCAACTCTGATCAAAGTTTGTTTACGTACCCATTTCAGCATTGTTTTCAGTCTGTAACTGTTTTACTTGTGACTTGAGCTGACGAATCTGTTCTTTGGTACGGGCTTCTTCCAATGCTGGTGACGGAGATCTCCTATAAGCACTGAGCCCATCATATGCAGGGCTTCTCCTTGATTCCGATAACGTTTGTCTACCTTCCCTCTGTAATTACAAATAAATAGAAAACATGATACACCACACTCATTTCAGTGTCAAATCTACTATTTGTCTGGTAGCAATCTAAAACTTGATTTACAGCAATTCCAGGCACTGATTTGACGCCGAAGTAGTGCTAGATGTTGGTAACTTACTGCAATAGGTTACACACTTTGTTTTCACATTTACAGAAATAGTTACAAATAATGCAGACAGCATGTCTGCAATTTGAAGCGCACCAGAAGGAAGCTCCGCCCATAAAAGTGGCGGTACTTTAGTTTTGAATTTTTCCTCCAATAAACGATCGAGGCTCTCAACTTAGTTTCCTATTTCAATTTGTGTCACATGTTATTTCAGTGAGCGCATAAAGTGGTGGCACTGTAAAGAACGTTAGTTAGAGTTATTTTACAGAATCAGCTGACCAACTGATCATGGCAGAAATGTTGATCAAAGTGCATTATTACTACTATGGAAATATCCATATCACGCCGATCTATATAACCACTAAACCGTGATATATTAAACTGAAAGCTGCCTGCAACAAATGTCCTATGAAGACTTTGTCCAGTATATCAATAATGAAATTGAATACATAAGTAGAATGGATGTTATTCGATTATTAGTTCTCGGCGATGAGAACCAATATTTGCAACTTATGTAAATGTGAAAACAAAGTGTGTAACCTATTGTAGAATGTTATCTATATCTAGCACTACTTCAGCGTCAAATCAGTGCCTGGAATTGCTGTAACTCAAAGAACTGCTTTACATTGTAAACTCAACATAGTGAATATATTGTGAGGTGGTGTAGGGAACATTGATTCACCACTACGTCTGAGATTCATACACATAGACAGAGATACAACATTAGCCTTCAACTTACCACAGTTGATCTATCTTGACGTGGAGAAGGAAAAACTGACTCGCCACTACGTCTAAATTCATACACCTACCCCCCCTTCACATAGTATTATCATTGGGACGACACACTTTGAATTAACTTTTAATACAGTTGCGATATGAACTTGATAAAAACGCGTTACTATATAGGGTTGCGTTTTAATTGGAATTTAATTAAACTTAATTACAATGCAATTCAACAAAGAATTTCGTTTTAATTAAGTTTAATTAAATAAAAGTTGAATATCCCGTGACTTAACATAGAAATGTTTGCAAAGCTTATGTTTAGTAAAGAGGGTAGGTAGGTATGGTACAATTATATTAATATTAAAATAAATAGAACCATACCTTCCCCTTTACTGAACCTAAGCTACACAAACTTGACTTAAATTAATCGGTTAAATCGTTAAATTGAAGTCGTCACAACGTTGGTACCACACACGCAAACATACACTGAAACGGCTCTTTTGCGGGTCGCTAACGATGTACTATGCAGTATTGATAATTCTAAGAATTCAGTTGCTCTCGTACTTTTGGATCTTTCAGCCGCTTTTGATACTGTGAATCACAGGATTCTCATCGATAGGTTGAGATCAAATTTTGGTTTAAATGGTCTCATCATCAAATGGTTTGAGTCGTATTTGAGTAACCGCATTCAAAAAGTGAAAATTGGAAATGTATTTTCTGATATGACGTCTATATTAGTAACCGGTGTTCCACAGGGCTCCGTCTTAGGGCCATTATTGTTCTCAATGTACATGCGTCCATTGGGCGAGTTATTGCGACGTCACGGCGTAAAATATCATTTTTACGCCGATGACAAACACAGATTTATTTATCGGTTTCTGAAGATGATCAAATTCGCGCCCGGGTGATACTTCAGACATGTATTCAAGACGTTAGCGATTGGATGTCTTGTAATTTCCTACTTTTGAATGTGTCGAAAACTGAATTTGTGTGCATGTCGTCTCGGAGATTCTCACAAGACTCGTGTCCTTTGTCTAGTATCGCAATTGGTGAAGAATTGGTTAGTGCTTCGTCAAGTGCTAGAAACTTAGGTGTCTTGTTTGATTCGCAGCTATCTATGGAAACACACATTTCTACTATTTGTAGATCTGGATATTCCCATCTAAGAAATATTAATCGTATTCGTAAATCATTATCCCAATCTGATACTGAAAAGTTGGTACATGCTTTCATATCTTCTCGCTTAGACAGCTGTAATTCATTATTGTCTGGTCTCCCTGTAACTAAGATAAAACCTCTTATTCGTGTACAAAATGCAGCAGCCCGCCTTGTCACTCGTGCTCGAAAATATGACCACATTACAGACATTTTTATTAAACTTCATTGGTTACCAGTTGTACAAAGAATCAATTTCAAATTACTTTTACTAGTGTATAAATCTTTGTATGGTTTTGCCCCAAATTATCTATGTGAATTAACGAGTCGTAGTTTAAGATCTGAATCGAAGTTTCTTATTAAAACTCGTCAGATGTGTAGTAAAAAGTCCAAGGTGTTATACAAAGACCGTGCTTTTGAAAATTTAGGTCCTAAACTTTTTAATGAATTACCTCTGTCTGTTCGTTCTAGTCCTTCAGTAGACATTTTTAAATCCAGACTGAAAACGCACTTATTTAAATGTGCTTTTAATATTTGACTGATTGTTTATTGTATCAGCGCCTTTGATCTTCATATGTTGGAATTGTTGCGCTTAATTAAATAGAGTTATTATTATTATATTATTATTATTATACACACGCAAAAACAAATACACATAAATAGACAGACAGACAGAGATACAACATAAGCCTTCAACTTACCACAGGTGATGTATCATGACGTGGAGTAGGGAACATCGATTCACCACTGATGTCTAAACTAGAGTCCATTGTTATTAGTGTAATGTTTTTATTATTATTCTTTGATTGATTATTGATCCGTGATTGGTCACTGGCCACAGCAGACATGCTCTCACTTGATAAACTTCTAGATCTGTGAATACAAAAAAGAAGTAATCAATACCAATAGATTCTGTTAATGTTTGTGTCATTATGAAATGTACCATTTCCTTCAAGTAAAAATAAAAAGATTATTTATATAAAAAATCAATCAGTAATCAATCAATATCAGTAGCATCACATTGGTGTTCCCAATCTATAATAATGGCCGCCGAGTCAGACGTCATGTCTCTACAGAGCTACTCACCAATCACTGACATTAGGATCAAAATCTTTTCATTGCTATCTGAAAGACTCTTGAAATGTCTTTTCAATATTGGTACAATGTATCACTCAATCAAAATCAATCGGGAAATTAATACGTTACGATTTATGTGACATACCTAAATATTAATGATCATTTATGCGATAGGAAGTTAACTAGATCCAGCACAAGTTTATGTTGTTGAAACAGTGGAAAGCTTTGCACCAAATCAAAGTACCAAAATGAATAGAACATTGCCAACAGTAAAACAATGACGACCAACACTGCTATAGTGTTTGGGTAACAATATGTGCGTCATCTTGTATTAGGTTTTTTAATGCCATGAGTGGCAGTGCTATTTTGCTATTAGATACATGTAGCATGCGATATGATCTAAAACATCATCCGTTAATTTTCAAGTTGACTGATTAATTTTAGATTTTTAATTTTAATTTTAATTAATGCCGATTGTATTGTTGAATTGATGGGTAAATAACTTATTTGGAGGCCTATTTCCACAAGTATACAGAATGTTTTTCTTTCCTACACTTCTATGGATCACCCTATCATTTCTATTGTCCACTATGGGAAGCAACTTTACAAGCAACCTAAAATATATGGGGAGGGGGGTTTCAGATTCAAGTGACTGACAAACAATTCTTTGGAATTGACTGTTTTTTATATTCCAGACAAAACAATTATTTTTTAAATTATAAATTTCAATTTAATGCATTTTCCACACTTTCTAGTCCACCACAATAGAGATTTATACTTTTGGGAAAACACAAAATTATTGTTTCCATTACCCTTGATTTTTATTTATAATTTATTTTTGTCATAAATATCAGAAATTGTAGTGCTTTTAAAATGTTCTCATATTTTACTAAGTTACTAACAGCAATCAACTTTAAGAAAGATTAGATAAGAATGGAATGGAAATGAATGATGGATATTTTTCTGAAAATAATGATTTTAATTATTTATGTTAAAACATTAAACTTTGTCTGGGGAATAAAGACGTATAAGAAAGACTCATATGAGTCATCACAAAATGGTATACAAATTTTAACAGTTCTTTTTTTTTTTTATTGGCATCAACATGAAGGAAATGTACATTACTTATTCAAGTACAAATATTCATTAATTACTTCAATAATGTCATTTCTGACAATGTGTATCAAGTTTATCTCTTTCTGTATCAATTTCATATTCTAAATGATGAGTTCTTCATTTTAGTTTTAACTTATCGAAGAGAATGAAGTCAGTTACAACAAGATGGTCATATACCTACGCAAACACAATCTGACAAAGAAAATGCTGCCAATGTCTAATCTTTGAGAGCTTTAACTACCAATCTTATCTTTGAGGGCTTTTTGGGGTGTAGTTTACATATTAACAAGCAGCCTATCGGCTGAGATAGCTCTGCTGTTAGCACTGCACATTTCATTAAAGA